ATCAATTAAAACGCTTGTAAGCATTTCATTTTACAATTACATATTTGGGTTTCACATCATTATGGTTTTTATTGTCATCTTAACTTTGCTCCCTTTCAATCAAGAATAATGACTCGCATTAATTTCAGTAACTTGGGTCATGGTCAACCAAGACTTAGTTCTTAAAATGTTGTCTTGGACAGAACTTAGACTAAATATAAATGTAGTTTGTTAGTGTCTGTGCAAGTTCTCAGTCATCCAGGTCACGGTAAATTCAAAGTGGACTGGTTGAAGATCTTGAAGATGTTCCACCTCTTCTCCGAAAGGCTTCTAAACTATCTGGAGGACGTAGGGAGAAGTTTAGTTTTATATTATTGAAATCGGTCCACTTTTTGAAGGTCTCGGTCTCAGACTGGACAGACTGAGAAAATCATGACCGGTCAAGACCACCTCTGATAGGCTACTTTCCCACGTCCTTACTGACCCGAGTCAGGTACGATGCATCAATCAGAAACTCTCAAAACAAAAATAAGACACGATCCCGCTGAACGTTACCTTTAATAAAAAATTAGAAACCACAGAGTCAAAAAAAACATTTACAGTAAACTTAGCTTTTAATAAAGTTGAAATGCGTTACATTTTCATTATGAAAAGTTAAAAACCATGACAACACTTGCATCATATGTGGAGCTCTATATGTTTCTTTTCTGTCACTGGTTATTGCTTCAGATTAAAACGCGTCATAATGCATCATTTGAATCCTTTTGTAAGCTCTCCCGGCTCCACATTATCTCTGCTGCTTTAAATCTTCTCATGTTTCCTGCAAAGATCTTTCTAAGAGCTTTAACGCTTCATGATGTTTTTCACACGAGGACGTAGTAAACTGTACCGAACTACAGGCTGGTTTCTCAGACACCGGTCTACTGGAGACCGATGTGAGCGTGGTCGTCGTGGGTCGTCTTGATGTTAGGCGCCGTGTAGGATTCGGTCTCTGCGTCCCTCGATCCTGCAGGATGTGACGATGAAGCAGAGAGAAAACAAAAGAGACAAATGTTAAGTTTCATCCTGGATGAATCTCCTGATCGTTTTTTAATGAAGTTAACTGAACATTATTAATAAATGGTGGACGTTAACTCGAGTAACTGCTCATTTCAACGTTCGGTCAGCGCCACAGTTTTGCTCTGTCGGACCCTCTGTGCCTTTTCCTCGTCTGACTTAGGATGACCTGTCCGGGTCATCCTATTCTGTCCAGCTTGACGTGTACTTGTGGCGGTCTCCGTCGAAAATTGGCTTCAGTGCGTAACTGAAACGGAGCAGAGCGTAGCAGCGCTGCTAACACGCTCCGGAGACGGACCGCGGCACTCGTTGTGGAAACCCAATGATTGACTGGAGTTGCAGTTGGTCTAACAACGAAGAACAACACGGCGAAACATGTCTGCAAATTTTCTGACTTTGTGGCTCATTTTGAGTCGTTTTGGTCAGATACCGGCATTTAACACCCCTGGATTTTTCAAGTATGCAAAGCAGTGATCGATTATACTTCATGTCCACGTCATGCTCTCGTGCTCATGCACATGAACGAGTATCAACACAGTGCATGAGCACACCTCTTCCAAGCGGGCCAGAGCCAAGGAGGTTAACCGTGGGAACACTCACACTGGTCAAACTGTACGGAGAGCATAGTGTGAGTGATTGACATTTTAGCTTCAAACTGACTGAAACGTTTAACTTTAAAAACCGGCGCCATTCAGTGTTTCCCCTACCATTATATGAGGGGGGCGGCCCGCCCCCGTAATATTATTGTAGAGATAGGATAGTGGATAGAGTCGGAAATCAGGGAAAGAAGTCATTTAAGGATACCTTTCCGATAGAAAAGGACAGCTGTCATCAAAAGCAACGCATGAACACCAAGATTCCTTCAAGTGTTTGTGTCGGTGTGTCCCCCCCCCCCCCAACGCTGTAAACCTAGGGGAAACACTGTAAGTCATCTTTTGATTGATCGTGTAACTCGAAGGAGCGGGAAGAGCGGACAAACATTTTCTCACAGTGGACTTGTTCGCCTCGCCGCCCGACTCTGTGTTAGTTAATGATTAAAAATAGATAAAGGTGGAAGTGAATGTTTCACTCGCCTTCTGATCTCTAACATGTCACGCTCTCAGGGAGAGACTGGCATTATTGTACACGAACACAAAGACACACACACACAGACACACACACACACACACACACACAGACACACACACACTCATAAACATATAAAACATGACAGATTAAACTGAGCTGTGTTGGTTTTGTCGCAGGGATCTCTTCCACCTCAGAGCTACGCTGCAGCCGAGGGTGGAATGGGTAACGCCACTGCTCTTCTCTGCCTCCTCAGACCACACACACACCCAGTATGAAGCACTGGGCTGTACTGGGAGAGGAGGAAAACGCACACACGCACACACACACACACACACACACACACACACACACGCGCGCACACACACACACACACACAGAGAAAAGCCTTGTTCAAACTGCCGTTTCAAGCCACGATATTTACGCCCCTGTGACGTTTCCCTTCATTCCTAATGTTGTGGAGGTGTAATGGGGGGGGATGAAGTGACACCCCTCCCCGTCCCGTCCCGTCCCGTCTCGTCTCGTCTTCAGAGGTAGTAACAGCGGCGTTACAGAGGAGAGGCGGGAATAGATAAAACGTGTATGCAAATGACACAATTGTGCACACATTTCATTAAGAAAAAGGTTTTCCATAATTCATTTAACCAGGTAATTAAATCTCTTAGACAAAGGTGACCTGGCCTAGAGGGCAGCAGCAGCACACACGTGTGCCATGTCACCTCCTGGTTTCCGTAGCAACTGCCAGATCAATTTCTCATTAAAAATTCTACCTAGAGTTCGTTTTTTAAATCATTTAACACTCGACTCTGAAGGGACAAAAGATGGAGTTAGCTCGGTTATGAATTGGATTAACAGCAGCAACTAAAAGTAAAGCATAGAGAAACCTCATGGTCATTAAAGGGATACTTCACCCATTTGCATTAAGCTTTGTATCATTACAAACCTGGTAGTATTTTTGAATGGTCGTGCATCCCGCCCTTATTTTCCCCTGAGATGGGAAATCTTTGTATTTCTGAGTCTGAAAAGGAACTTCCAGTGACGCAAAAATCTTCATTTTGCGTCACTGGAAGCTGTTGCGGTTAGCGGGGTGAAACTACAACGCTAGTTCCTCATATTTTCAACCACTGAAGCTACAGACCAATCACAGATCAGTGGGTGGGAACTCACTCCCAGAATCCAAACTTAATGTCCGCCATATTGCTTGGAAGCTGTGCTAACAGGCTCTATGGAGAAAGCTGATAATGGCGAAAAAATATAAATATAGCGACGAGGGGGCGGCTGCCGACAGGCCGGTCTTGTGTTTTGGCTGCTGTGCCTGCTGACCGCTGCCCGCCAGGGCCGCCGCGACACAAGACCGGCCTGTCGGCAGCAACCGTTCACTGTTTCTCTCACTGTTTGCCTGTGGACACAGACATAAGAGTCTGTTTTCTGCCAGGAATTTCCAAGATCAATTCTGGAAGAAATCTCTGAATCTGTTGAAGTAAACATGTCTGTAAATGTTTTTATTACTTTATTTCTACTGCTATATTGTACATTTTGGAGAGACTGTATCGATCGAATTTCCCTCTGGGATTAATAAAGTATTTCTGATTCTGGAATACAGGACCTTAGTGGGAGTGGCCTGCTGTGCTGTGCATTCTGGGATTTGTTGTCTTTCATCCACATGAGCCAAAAAGACACTTACTGCCTTTTCTCGGCCAAAATGGCACCAACTTCCACATTTATTTCACATTTCTACTACATATATGACCCAATGTCAATACAGATTCATGTTTCAACAAGGTGAAGTATCCCTTTAACTCTTTGTATGAATAAACTTCACATACTGTAAGAGTGACAAGAAAAACAAAACGTCATATTAAATCTGAGGCTGAATGTTTTTAACTTCTGCAGAACACTGAATATAAAAAGCTACCTCTAAACTTTCTCACACCTTTCTAACGGTACAACCAGGAGGAGGGGGGGGGGGACATGTGCAGACGTGGCATCAGCACAGTGAGAGTATGCACCGTGGAATAACTGTGCACAAAGCTTCATATCTAACTTACAGCTCATTGATCATTATTACACCATAAATCATCTGAATTCTCGGAGCATTGTTTATTAACAGGGCACATTAACTCTTATTTAGAGAGTATTAAAGACATAGTATTTGTCGGGTTAAACACGCACTCTATCAAAGTCAAAGATGTAATTTAAGAGTAAAGTTTGACTTATTAACCGTCTGAGTGTCGTATTATTAAGTCTCACACTTATTTTAACCTGAACTTTGAACACAGTTGACCTTGTAACGCGACACTCGGGCTGCAAACGCGTCACAGCTGCTCGTAATAACACAACAGAGTGAGAATAGAAACTGTCAACAGCGTGAGGGAGTCAGAATGAGTATAAAAATATATAAAAAAAATACAAACAAAACTCGTTCTTCAGGTTAAATCATCACTTACGATGGAGCACCGTGGAGATGTGGAGGACAGAAAGATCTGGAAAGGGAGAGAAAGAGGAGAGCGGTGGTGCTTTTAGCTGCACACCGAGGGTTGCCAGGTTTGCAGCTAATCCGCCATTAACGGGTGTTAAAATGAAAACTGGTGCACAGAACAAGATAAGGAAAAAGACTGTAGAATTGTAAATCCACCCCAGAAATAAGATAGAAGTGTGTACAAAATTAGGATTTTGACAAACAACACAAGACAGCCCATCTACACCAATGGCTGCTCCGTGAGAGAGAGACACCCGTTTTATAATATTATTATTAAAATAACATTACAATATGATAACAACTAAAGAGCCTTCACTTGTCAAAATGTGCGGAAACAACAGGCTACTTTAATAGAACTGGACCTCAAATTTGGATTTTCTTTTATTTGAAGTTGTACGTTAAAATAACACAACACAGAGGATAACGCGTGTTTTCTGCAGATCTGGCAACCCACGTACGCGTCAACCACACACCACGCAGACTCAAAAACGATGGCGGACGAAGTTGAGCAGGTTAGCGCCGTGAATTATCGTCAATTCTCTCACACACTGTGTTTAATATCGAGTTACAAACGGGGCGGCAGACACGTCAGGCATGTTCTCGTTTGATAGGCGTGACTTTGTAATTTGTTTTGTGTGGTTTATTTTCCTGTTAACGGCGCGGAGAGGCCTGTCTAACGAGCTAGCTTTGTTAGCATGTGATGCTACGTACCGTCAAAACGTTTAAACGTGCGGATGAAGGTTAGCGCGGGTTTGTTGTTCAGTGACAGAGCCAGCCTGTGTTAGTCTTAATCTAATTAAGTTACATTAACCTCTTTGTGAGGACTAAGCAGAGTTATGTTCTGATTCTGACCGGCATGGTGTTTCATTTGAGTGATAGCATGATGCTAACACTCACTACACTAAAAGCCTGTAAACAAAATGATTGCAGGTACTGATGAACTTTTTCTGAAGCCTGCTCATGTGTTCACTCTTTGTGTTCACTCTTTGTGTTCACTCTTTGTGTTCGCACAGGTTCTTCAGTGTTGTAGCACGATTTAAATAACACACAACTTGTGTTACATCTCTAAAAACAACCATGAGTTTGTCAGGTAAACAGGTTGTGAATGACAAAGGAAGGAAATCACTGAGGAATACAAAAGACAGATGATAGATAGATAGATAGATAGATACTTTATTGATCCCGAGGGAAATTCAAAGCATCCAGTAGCAGATTACAAAGACATGACATGAAACATTTGTTACAAATTAAACCACAAAACCGACCCCCCCCCCCCTCCCCTCCCATACATGTATATTAACCTGAAAAAAAGATTTAAAGAACACCCCTAGATCAGGGATGGGACAACTTTGGTCACAGCAAGGGCCACATTCATTTGATTCTCACAGCCAGGGGGCCAAATTGTAGTACACAAAAACGATTACAGTCAATTATTTCTCAGATTTAACTCAACACATACCAGTAATCAATTATTATTATGGACATATTTCTGGTTTTCATGATTTCATGGCTGATTCTGTCATGTTTTCTTCATGTTTCCAATTAATTGATATTTAAAAACTCTCAACGTTGATTGGGGCTGCATGTGGCCCCCGGGCCGCCAGTTGCCCACCCCTGCCCTAGATGAATCAAACTTCAACTGTGAAATAAAAAAAAATAGATTTTTTTTTATTCAAGAAATGTACATAACCCGTTCAGGGATAAAAAAAATATGAGATTTAAAGAAGAACCTATAAACAGTTGAGGAAAAAAATCTGTAATTAGACCTGAATATAAAAAATTTAAAAAGTGTTGACCTTGTGAAGTTGTGTTGTTTATATATGTACAGCAATGTTTAAAAAGCAGATATTGCAGAGTTATCAAAAAACAGACATTAAATAACAGGCAGTGCAAACATTACATTAAAGGTGCTATTTAAGTAATTGAGGTAATCATTAAAGTGTCCAACTAGAGGCTGACTCTTGGGACAGCTGTGCAGATGGGAAATGGAAAAAGGAAGATTTAGTCCAAGTGTGTGCTTTCCCCCCTGCCATAACCGTGAGGTGTTGTGCAGACGTATGGCCAGGGGGACAAAAGAGTTGTTGAGTCTGTGGAGCAGGATTGTGACAGCAGTCTGCCACTGAACACACTCCTGTGCCTGCTGAAGGTGCTGTGCAGAGGGTGGTGGGTGTTGTCCAGGATGGAGAGCATTCTGTTCAGGGTCCTTCTTTCTGCCAGTGTACAAAATCTAAACTTTATGAAGACGTGTTTTCCAATCAACATTTTCTTTATTTGCCGAAAGGACCAAAACATAAACATAGACAACGTTACATTTAAAAAAAAAAAAAAACATTAGCATTGTATATTTATTTAAATTACAATTTAATTATCAGGGCTTATGAATGTTCAGGTAATCGTCTATTTTATGAAGGGACATTTTTAAATTATTAAAGAAAACACTGACAGGGTCTTTACTAGAGCTGGGTATTATCCACAACCCTGATTCGATATCAATTTGATCTATGGGTCTAGCACAAACTGACTCAAACATATTTTTATCGTTGCATTATTCTTTATTAAACTTCTCCACTCTCTGTTTTCTTCCCCCAAGAAGAGTTCACCAAAGTTGGATTTGTTTTTGCTTTAAAGGGTTTTGAAACACGTAGAACCGTTGTCTTACTCGTTTACTTTCTGCGTTCTGCAGCAACCGACCACCAACACGGTCGAGGAGCCTCTGGATCTGATCCGCCTCAGTCTAGATGAGAGAATCTACGTCAAGATGAGGAACGACCGGGAGCTCCGGGGCCGGCTGCATGTGAGCCACAAACACTGAAACTTAAATAATCGTGTTTAGCCAGCGTGTGTGTAAAACCCGAGAATACTTCCCGTTCATAAAAGCGCTCTGTCTGTTTTTCCCCGCAGGCCTACGATCAGCACCTGAACATGATCTTGGGCGATGTCGAGGAGACGGTGACGACAGTAGAAATCGACGAGGAGACTTACGAAGAACTCTACAAGGTGCGACATATATTTCTCTCTGTTCAGCTTCACTCCCAATTTCCACGTAGTCGGCGCTCGCTGCCCCACTGGGTCTGTTTCTCGAGCCTGAGCGTAGCTGTACACACATCCCAGGAGAACTACAAGATCACAATTTTATTTTGATATTGACCGGTTCGTCTGACTTCCTGTCCAGCTCGATCTATTCTGTCCAGCTTGACGCCTGCCTGCAGCGAGATCCGTCGAAAAAATAGACTCTCAGCGTATTTGAAACAGAGTATTTGAAACGCTCCGGAGACGGACTTCGGCGCCTCTGTGGAAACGGGAGCATTGACTAGAGTGGCAGCGAATGGCGGTTTTGTGCGCCGCTGACGGACCGCGGCATGCACAGAGTATGATGACATTGGCAGTAAGGCCCCGTGTTCACCTAATGCTTTTTTTTTTCTTCAGGCAGAAAAGCGATGGCGGCGCTCAGGAGCGCTTGATAATAGGCTTGTCCGCAGAGAATAAAAGCGCTGCACATGTGTCCCGTCTCTATGGCAACAGCGGCTGTTTGACCGACACTGACCTTGTTGCTCTTTACTGTTTTATATTTGAGATCTTCACTATGAGAATCAAACAGCGAGTACCCGACTGATCTACTATCTGATTTGCAAGTTGAAAAGAGTGCCGGTGATATCTACAGCGCCGTTCTGAAAAGTTAAGATTTTCAACTTGAAGCGCTCGGAGCGGCCGCGCTAACTTAGGCAGCTTGGAGAAATGACGGCGTGTGCTGTGCTGATTAAAAGCAAAGACGTGATTAAGTGCGGAGAAATCATCTGTAACAGACACGTGTAATTAAGTTCTACTGAAGACGTTTTCACTCATAATAACATAAATTCTGTCTTTTTCTTTCTGTCTCTTCAGTCGACCAAAAGGAACATCCCCATGCTGTTTGTGCGAGGAGACGGCGTCGTCCTCGTAGCTCCGCCTCTCAGGGTGGGCTAACCCAGACCACCACTTCCTGTTGCGATGATGTGTTTGTGTGTTTCGTACCAGATGGGAGTTTGTAACACTGACCTGGGGGAGGAGGAGGAGGAGGAGGGCGGCGCTGTCTCGATCAGAGGCTGGGTTCAAACATCGTCATCATCCATCTCGGGTCCCGATGTCAGCGCCGTCATACCACGACCACGAAGTCAGATACGACCTTCAATTATCAAGACAAACAAACAAAAAGGACTTTTGGACTGAGGGACGATTTACTTTTTATTTCAGTTAAATGGATTCCTGAGACCATCAGAGTTTAAGTTCTGGTCGTCATGGAGATGAAGACTCACCTCTCCAAGTTTTAGTTTCCTCTCATTCTCAGTTTCGGCGAGTATTTCATCCACACAGCGACGTGATTTTGAATTCATTTAATCTCTTAAAGAAACTCGTGCGGTGACTTTGAACCTGTGATGTCTGAATGTTTGACACGTTCTTTGAATCTCTCTGGGATTTTTTTTTTTTGTTCGTCGTTTTTAAAAAAAGTTTTGTAAAGTTATGAAGCACTTGGAAGTCGATCATGTCCGTCAGATGTGTAAACATTTGTGTTATTTTTGTTTTGTTAACTTGAATAAAAAACTTGATTTGAAAACATTCAGAATGAGTCTCTTATTTTATTTTCAAAACATCCACAAAGTCCAGAACCAACTTCTCATCAGTCATCAGTGCTCACTCAAAAAGAACAAAACTGTTTAGTCAGCATGAACGTTAACGTCTTAAAGGTCCAATCAGTGAGATGTGTAGAGAGTGAAATGATAAAGTGACCTTACTATATGATCAGACATTAAGTAAACATGCTATGTTGAAGTGCTGGCTTCTCTGACAACAATGCAGCAGCCAGTATGTCCTCCTTCTAACTTTAGATTCTGCTCCTGAATGCTCTGGATTTGTTTGGACCAGAGAAGGTAGGCGGTTTTAAGGCGACCCCCCCCCACACAGGAAAAGTGGTGTAGATAATGGATGGATTTATTTTCAACAGCATGAAAGAGATAGCTGTGAAACACAAACTCAGAATAACATGAGATCATGTGTTTTTGTGTTTAACCACTAGAGGGCAGTATAGCTCTAATAAAACGTGCTGATCCATCCTGTTTAACAGGATTAGATGTTTATTTTTTTCCCATTTGCACAGGTACAGGGCAGTACAGGAGATCAATTTCAACTATAAGAGAGCAGAAGAATTAATAAAATGTAATCACGGAGGTAGGGAGGAGCATCAGGCGGAATCTGAAATGTCACAAAATAATTTGTCATGTTTGTAGTTTGTAAAAATGTGATGTAGCTTCAGAGACCGTTCCAACATGAAGTCAAGGACATGTTCTCTTCTCTCTGTCAATGATAAAAAATAATCATGACTTAATGTTTGTGTAATTCTTCATGGTCCTGCAGGGGAGACGTTGTTTTGCAGCATGCAGGGGCGTGTTTAGAAACTGGGGTGGTCCACCTGGGGCTCTGACTTATGCAGGGGCCGCGTGACATTTGTGGACACACAAATTGATTACATGTTTTAACCCTTTCTATCCCCACTTCAGATATGTACTTATAAGTTACACAATTTGGCAACATCTAGATCTTCTCAGTTTGATTCTTTAGGGACTCAAAAACAAAGACGTTTGTGCAAAGTCACAATTTAGGTGTGACACGAGGTTTAACTTGGAAATTTCAATGGAAAGAGCAAAGTATTTATCGACTGCTGAAAGTACGATCATTAACCTGACCTAACCCTAACCCAAGACAGCCCGAACAGTTTATTTGTTCTTCATGGTGCGTTCAACTTGGCCCGCGAGTTGAATAGGCCTGGTATAATCTGTAACCATTGCCATGTCAACCCCCAGCCAACCTTCTGGACACGCCCCGAGACAACATATACAACAAGGACAACATCAACAGATACCCCAATAGAAAACATCAGAGGCTCAAACTAAGAGAGAAATGTTTATTAAGTTATGTGAAGTCAATATGGAGGTGTGCAAAGTGCATAGCACCACCCGGGTGTAGACTTCATCTCTCAGGGCTTAAACCATCATCTGACGATCGTGTCTGTGTTCTGATATTTGATACTTATAAGGGTAAATGTTTGCATGCAGAATAATAAACTGAGTCGACATCATACCTGCAGCGGCATCAATGTGAAAACATTAGCATGCTGACCTTTGAGTTCCACTCAGACCGTGGCCTTTTCAGTCTTGTTTAAGTCTGTTTCCCCCACAGCTCAAACTGAACTTCTGCCACCGACCTCTTCAAACATGAGCAACATGTTCTACAGAGGGTGTAATGTCTACTCTGATGTAACAGAGGTTTAATTTGTGGAGGTCATATTTCAACATGCCTGGAACAGAGACTTCTTTAGATCCTGCACATCCTCGATCCCCTAACCCTAAACACATCATCATCCTCAGACGGTACGTTCATCGAACCCCCGACCCGTTAAGAGACGGCCGACTCTACCACTGAGCCACAGCTGTCAAACAAATCTGTACAAGTACCAATCCTTGCAGAACTCCCAAGGTTGCTAAAAAACTTCAGGTGATTTATTAAATGACGAGGCGTGTTGAGTTCCTGTAACCTGGAAGACGTGTGAAATGACACCCTGTGGGACGCCTCGCTTCACTTGGCCCACGGCGCCGTCGCTGAGTCTCTCGACAGCTGACTCTAAATAAAATCTGTCCCGACACAGAAGGCCGTACAGTCGTTCCTGGTTCTGTTTCCAGCAGCAGCCTGAACCTGGAGGAGCGTCTTCACTGTGACTCTGAAACGTCTTGTTGTTGCGGACGCTGCTCTGCTGCACCGCCCCGTCTCGCCACATCACCGTCTCGGTCCATCACGGCTGCACGCAGCGGCCTCGAAGGAACTGTTGGTGTAATGTAACATCAAAGGGACCTTAATGCACTTTAATGAGCTGCGTCCTGCCTCTAAAGGTCTCTAATGAGGCCTATTATGGATCTGATTCTATCGGGATAGAAACAACTTAATCTGCACTGAGCAGTTATTCTACGAGCTCGGAGTCAGACGGTCGTGTAAATCAGGATGATTGTTTAAAGTGGATTCACGTTGACTCAGGAACCCGTCTGTGCAGCCAGCGGTTATTAATGACCTCAGTATCAGACAAAGATTAGTATAAAAATTAAAGTGTGAGTGCCATATTTGAATTTAAGGATGGACTGGTGAACAAAAGAGTGCTTCAGTCTGACCTTATCAAAGCGTGGGACCCTGTATCCCCGATCTGAGGTCTTTAATAGTTCATCTTCACTGTTCAGAGCGAGGTCAAAGGTCAAATGAAAGAAGGACAATGAAGGACAAGACTTCATACTATGTTCAGCAGTAGTCAGTAGTGTGACCACCAGTCGACAGTTACTCTGCAGTAGACCAGACCAGGCTAAGCTGGTTTCTGGTCTTTGAATGAGGAAGTAAACAACAGCCCAATCAAGAAAGATAACTGGTGGTATCTTTGTTTGCTTTGGTCTGATTTAGATTATTTCCTCTGTTACGATTGGACACTGCTGTCCGTCATTTCAACCTCTAACCTGCCGCTTTGCATTGTGGGAAACTGATTCAGGAAAAAATCTAAAATGTAGATTTCTTCCTGAATCAGTACGACATCCGGGTATTTTTTTCCAAACTGCGGATAGAGTGAGACATCAGGTAGAGAGAGAGAGAGAGAGTGGGGAATGACACAGGTCGGATTTGAACCTGGGCTGCTCGCTTGCTGGACTACAGCGTTCCGTACATGGGGCGTGCACACTACCCACTAGGCTACTGGCGCCCCGATTTCGGCAAACTTTAACCTCAATGTTTCCGCCGTCCAGCAGCACTCTGCAACAATCAAGAGTCGTCAACAAGCTGGTGAAGAATCTGAGTTTATTGTTGCTCCCCCTCTGATTCCAGGAATTATCAACAATTTGTGCAAATCAAAAACAGGAAAGAAAACTTCCAACTAATGAAACATGAGCCAATCTGTGCCATGAGAGGGAATGGTGTGATGAAGTAAAGGGTGATAAATCGAAGAAACACTGGTTGCACATTTAGCCTTTAAGTTTGTGAGGTGGCTGACATTTTAAAAACACTTCCAGATGAAGAAACAGAAACAAAGATTTAAAAAAAGAAGGTTCAATCAGTTCAAGGTTCGTTTCTCTGTTTCATTGAGGAATAGAAGACACTTAAAGTATTTCAAAGGGGACATATTATGAAAAATCCAATTCTTCAGTGTTTTTGAACATATGTGTAACCTGAGTGTCTACTGATCCACAAAATGTGAAATAAACCCGTCCAGTCCTTTTGTTTGTGGTCTGCATAAGTCTTACAACACAGAGAAAAACTCTCCGTTTCAAATGTGCTCTCCTTGTGATGTCACAGTGGGATTCTGGTAAAAAACAAATCCCCTCCCCTCCCCTGATATCTCCACACATGGACTCCAACCCCAGACTAGAACAAAACTTTTGCACATGTCTGCCATTTTTATTCTAGCTATAGAGGAGTGATGTCTAACGGGAAAACTCAGAGGGGGCTCATTGCATTTAAAGAGACACACACACCAAAACGGAGCGTTCTGAGAGAGCTGGTTTCTACAGGGTCACAAACCTCCTCTGGTGCTTGATTTATGTTATATTTTGACCAAAGCACAGCACAGATGTTTTATTTAGACCACTGTTTGAAAAGGTGGAGAAGGGGGGATAATATGTCCTCAAACATATTTAACAAACAAAAAGGAATCATATTTGGAAGTATTAATTGAAAACAACTCCCGTGAGGGTTTGTACTCGGAGTCAAACAGAGTCGAGTAAATGAAGAAAAGCTTCGTTCTTCGGCTCTCAGATATCACCGCTCTGTGATTTTCAGCACATTCCAGCCGCAGTCGCATTCGCTGACGGTCGTCAAACGCTACGTCATCCGACTCCTCGGAGCGGTCCACAAAATAATGACCTCATGCTCCTCGCGTCTTTGCGCTTGTGTCAGAGATATTTTCAGCGTTTTTAATCACCGCAGCTCACACGTGATGAGGCTTCAACACTCAGCCTGAACAATGTCTCTGAACTTATTTCAATCTGCATCTGTCACTTCTCTCCGCTCACACTTCAAGATTAGAGAGGTCAGCCTGTGACTGGAAGGTTGTTTATACCAGTTATGCTGTCAAATATTTACCAAAATGAGGAGAAGAATATTTTTTAAAGCTAGAAATAAATCATTTTGTAGTTCAATTAAAATCCGGACTGAACTAAAAAACAGCGAGCAGGTGCACCTGATGTTTCTGAGCTGCAGGAGCGGCTGAAAAAACCTCTGATATATTTTTTAGCTTCAAGTTTCCATCTTTGTTATTTTAGAGTTTAGGAGCCATCTTTAAAGCCAACAGGTGATGTTTTATAGCGTTGGCCTCCATGAGAAATTAGTAGAAATGTAATAATTATATTCCTGTTTTCTTGAGCTGTTGTACCGAAAAAATTTCCCCCATGGGGGATCAATAAAGTTTATCTTTATCTTCTTTATCTTTAAACATTCAAACTGGGCCCCTCCTCCTGGGCTCATTGCCCCCCAGAAGCTCCGCCCCCTGCCGGAAGTAGTGTGTACGTTTACTGCTTGTACCTACACTTCAAGCTAACGCAC